GTGAGTCTCACACCTGCGTACATCTGATTACACGAACATAAAACAGAAGGGTTCATTTCATCTAGCAGATCATGCTTTTCTAGAGTGTTTAAATTAGGCTTTAGTTTTGGGTAATAGGCATTTTCAGCTTTATTTATTCACTATTAGGCCTGTTGCACACATGCTGCATCTGCGGCTCATGAGATTCATTGTGGCATCCCAAAGTGTTATGTTTGGATTTTTTGTTTTGAGAGGTCAATACATCCCTGCTGATAAATCCAGCATGAATTGCATGTCGGTCCAGGCTGGTTTATGCTGGTCAGAGCTGGTTATAGTACTAGTCTAGCTATTCTCAAGCTAAACTGAGCTGGTTGTAGCAGGTCCACCAGCACTCCTGCTTCCCATGATGGGCCCAGCATGCAAAACACACTTTATGCTGGTATTTTCAGCAGGGATGAATATTATACCCTGGCTTGCTGAGTAGAGCTGTGCTTTGAGCCTACGATTTACACTCCAGAATCATAATGGGTTTTGGTTGGGTACTTATCACTCACATTTTCTTCAGAAAGTGTAAAAATCTTGTATCTATCATCCCATTGCAGTAAACCATAAAAGAGACTTCATGGCAAAGAGAAAGACTAAATCTTACACCAAATCCCATCGTCCCCTTTAAAGTGATGTTAGATTCTATAACCTGTCAGTGCTGCAGATGAACTATGATCTATGAACACAGATTTTCCTCTTGCTTCTCACGGGCTCGTTTTCACACCGGCTGCAAAGTTGTTCAGCACCCACAGCCCAGAATATATGAATTCACTGATCTAGAAAATGTGACACCCACTGCATTACATACATTCAGTCTTTCACTTCATACAGCATCCACCCACCTCTTACCCAGAGCGTTTACAGATTTACACGTCATCCTACAAGTCGAACTAGTTAGTGAGTTAGATCATGACTTAAAAACTAATTTTAATATCTGGTGTACAACCATATAAATTGCTATGTCTGTGTGTAGACACATATAGACGCAGCTTTTGCATATACAGCTGTCGTTAAAAGGGTCCAGTACAACATTTTTGTGGATGGGAACCTTTTTGGATCAAAGACCTTACATTGTCCAAGACAGTTACCAAAGTTGTAGGCAAAGATATGTCTGGAGGCAATATATTAAAATAATAACATAAATGACCAAAATATAACAAATTCTTAATTCCAGTTACTGAATGTGACTTAGTGACGAAAGAATTGACATGAAATTTCCTGATTACTGGTTTAGCCTTTTTTATTTTTTACACACAAATAGCAATTAATCAATAATATAAGTATTTGAACATAAAACAAAAGGAATCACTTGATGAAAAATGTATTTTTATTTGTTTAGCAGAGATAATTAACCAACATCAGAGAACCATGAATATGCAAACGTGTTGTTAAATTAGTGAAATATTACTTTAAAATCTAAAGGGGTGCTTTAAGTAAATATTTTGGGCTCACAAAAACATTTGGGAACCCCTGTCCTACAGGACTTTAGCAGGCCGGGGACTCCGGCCCCCTGATGATGGTGTGTGTGTATGAATGCACATGTTAGTGCGATCACTTCGTGTTCATCTATTTCTGTATGTGTGAATAGTTCCTCGTGCTTTGAACTCTTCAGGTCTGGTTTCCCTCGTGAGTCACTGTGGGAAAGACGTGCATGTGTACGTCCTCTCTCCCGGCTGACGCGAATGCCAGGCATAATTATACCGCCATAGAAATCAAAAATAAACCTCTCAACACCTACGCCTCCGTAGTTTAGCTCAGACAGAAATTCAGAGAATGAGGAGAGAGGTGCGAAGCGAGTGTGTGATTGCGGATCCCATTTCTGCGCTCCCTCCCGCCGTTGCTGATAATAATAGCAGGTTGTGTTGTTCGTGTGAGCTCACGAGAAAAAGCCAACAGCGCAGCAGTCGTGCTTCTAGATCGGCCCCCACCGATTCATTCATATCCAGTACATTCCAGACCCGACACGATTGAGCAGCGGGCGTACGCGTGTGTGTGTTTGTTATGTGGTAGACTTCTGAAATGAGGACACAGTCACTTCTCTGCTTTTGGGCTTTGTTTGTCCAGTGTAAATTAGCTGCATTTCAAAATCAATTCAAGCTCTTTATTGTCATTGCATATATAATATATAGCCCATGTAAAGTCTGCACACCACGCCTCCAAAAAATATCTTTACAGACTCTCACAAAGGTGACATTTCAAGCACAAAGGCTCTTCATCACACTAACCTGTGAGAGTCTGTTAATAAATTGCTATATTTTTGGAGCCGTGGTGTGCTGACTTGACACTTTCCTGTGCAAGTTATTTTTGGCCACTTTGAGCAATGTGCATGCTTTTGTGTTGGGCTTTTTTTGTGTATATAATGGCATGTTATAAAGAAATTAGATTATAAAGTATATTCAAATAGATTTCTGTATTTTTTGATTTCCTACAAAAATATTTAGCAGCTGTTTTTAACAATGTTTCTTGAGCAGCAAATCATCATATTAGAATGATTTCTGAAGGATCATGTGAAGACTGGAGTAATGATGCTGAAAATTCAGCTTTGATCACAGGAATAATTATATTTTTTAAATATAATAGAAAACAGTTTTTTAAAATTTAAAATTTCACTATAACAATATTTCTGTTTTTTTGTTGTTGTTTTTTTAAAAGTAGTCTTGGTGAGCATAAGAGACTTCTTTCAAAACCAATATATGTAATTATGTCAGAAATCCTGAACGAGAGAGGGCCCAAACGCAGAGATTGAAATACCCAAACGAAGAATATTTATTGACAGGACAGTAGACAAGGCACAAGAAGATAATGGAGTAGTGACAGGCCAAACATAGGGCAGGACACACAATAGGAGAATTGGCTGGTCGGGTTGAGACTGCAAAGGTGTGACGGCCAATGATGGAGAGCAGGCAGTGGCTCAGGGAACCAGAGGCTAGACAGTGGATGATGAGACGATACAGCACCAGACAAGCTGCCAGGCCAGGAGAGTCAGTGGCTGGTGGAGTGGGATGCAGGGCAGGAACCAACACAACACAACAAGAGATAAAAAACACAAACCAGAGCAAATAAAAACTGGGAAAAATAAAAACTATGTAACTGGAATTTGAAAAGAAAACAAAGAAACAAATATAAAATTCCAAAACATAACCCTTAACTTCCAAAACAAGAGAAAAGCTAAATTAATTCTACAAAAAAAAAAACAAAAAAAAAACACAACAACAAAAAGACAGGATCCAAAACCAAAAACTAGAGAGTAAAATAAGAACTAAAAATCTGAGAAACAAAAAGGCTTGAGAGAACTGGAGCAAAAGACTTGAACTTATCTAAAGTAAAAAAAACCCCATGAATATCAAAAGAATTATCACACAAGGGAAACCTACATCTACCACTGACTGACCAGATCTGCTAGCACAATATGAACACACACAACAAACCAGCAAAGACATGAGGGAAAGAACCACAATATAAAGGAAACAGCACAAAGAGGATCAGGTGAAACCAATCAAGCAAACGAGGACTAATCAAGGGGGCGTAGTAACGGTAACCAAGAGGAGCACATGGCAAACACAAACAAGACAAATCACTCTTTTACAAATATCCCTCGCATATCCAGATTTTCCAAGGCTGTGGATCCCTGGTGTCTATATACACTCACCTAAAGGATTATTAGGAACGCCTGTTCAATTTCTCATTAATGCAATTATCTAATCAACCAATCACATGGCAGTTGCTTCAATGCATTTAGGGGTGTGGTCCTGGTCAAGACAATCTCCTGAACTCCAAACTGAATGTCAGAATGGGAAAGAAACGTGATTTAAGCAATTTTGAGCGTGGCATGGTTGTTGGTGCCAGACGGGCTGGTCTGAGTATTTCACAATCTGCTCAGTTACTGGGATTTTCACGCACAACCATTTCTAGGGTTTACAAAGAATGGTGTGAAAAGGGAAAAACATCCAGTATGCGGCAGTCCTGTGGGCGAAAATGCCTTGTTGATGCTAGAGGTCAGAGGAGAATGGGCCGACTGATTCAAGCTGATAGAAGAGCAACTTTGACTGAAATAACCACTCGTTACAACCGAGGTATGCAGCAAAGCATTTGTGAAGCCACAACACACACAACCTTGAGGCGGATGGGCTACAACAGCAGAAGACCCCACAGGGTACCACTCATCTCCACTACAAATAGGAAAAAGAGGCTACAATTTGCAAGAGCTCACCAAAATTGGACAGTTGAAGACTGGAAAAATGTTGCCTGGTCAGATGAGTCTCGATTTCTGTTGAGACATTCAGATGGTAGAGTCAGAATTTGGCGTAAACAGAATGAGAACATGGATCCATCATGCCTTGTTACCACTGTGCAGGCTGGTGGTGGTGGTGTAATGGGTGTTTTCTTGGCACACTTTAGGCCCCTTAGTGCCAATTGGGCATCGTTTAAATGCCACGGCCCACCTGAGCATTGTTTCTGACCATGTCCATCCCTTTATGGCCACCATGTACCCATCCTCTGATGGCTACTTCCAGCAGGATAATGCACCATGTCACAAAGCTCGAATAATTTCAAATTGGTTTCTTGAACATGACAATGAGTTCACTGTACTAAAATGGCCCCCACAGTCACCAGATCTCAACCCAATAGAGCATCTTTGGGATGTGGTGGAACGGGAGCTTCGTGCCCTGGATGTGCATCCCACAAATCTCCATCAACTGCAAGATGCTATCCTATCAATATGGGCCAACATTTCTAAAGAATGCTTTCAGCACCTTGTTGAATCAATGCCACGTAGAATTAAGGCAGTTCTGAAGGCGAAAGGGGGTCAAACACAGTATTAGTATGGTGTAGGGATGGGACGATTACCGGTTTCCCGATAAACCACGATAAAATGTTCTGGCGGTTAGTATTATCGTTTAAAATTTTATTATCATAAAAACCGTGTTTGATTATCGTGATTTTGAAAACTCACGGTAAATCCTGTCCAGCCAGAA